GTGAGGAAGATCAGCCCTGAGCTAACATCCGTGCTAATCCTCCTCTTTTTGCTGAGGAAGACCGGCTCTGAGCTAACATCTATTGCCAATCCTCCTCCTTCCCCGCCCTGACCCCGGAAGACCCAGTAGATAGTTGTATGTCATAGTTGCACATCCTTCTAGTTGCTGTTACGTGGGACATGACCTCAGCATGGCCGGAGAAGCGGTGCCTCGGTGCACGCCCGGATCCGAACCCGGGCCGCCAGTAGCGGAGTGTGCACACTTAACTGCTAAGCCACGGGCCCGGCCCTAAAAATTTAAACTTTTAAAATGAACATTAAAAAAATTATATATATGTGTATGTGTGTATGTATATATATATTTTAAGTAGTTTTACAATGTTTATGATGAAAATAAGTTTTCTGCCCCACCTCCAACTGAAACCTAATTGTTGCTCCCCAGAGGCAATCACTTTGGCTATTCTGTTTTATTTGGCATTATATCTTTTAGCCACACATCACAAACACACACACACACACTCTCTCTCTCCCCCCCATGCTTTCAATATTATTTCACAATTTTATTTAAAATAATTTTTGGCTTTTACTTAATGTAAGTTTTAAATAGCATTTATAGCTAAATCAGTAGAGTGATTAAATCCCTTTCCTGTATAACTACTTATAATTCTCTGGAGTTAACAAATAACCTTTTTTTTTAGTTTGCTCTGTTTCTTGTGTGCCTACCACCAACTCATCTCCAAACTATTCTATCAATTTCAATTTTTCCTTGGGGAAAGTCTCTCCTAGAACTCTTTTTCTTCTTGTTCCAATTCAGAATGGTTTCATTTTCTAGTTCTCCTGCATGGCTATTTGTCAGAATAAAACTTAACCCTCATCTTGGGAATTCCTCTTTTTTATACTGGATTCTTTGTTTCCTGAATCCCACGTCCTCTTCTTTCTCCATTTACTCCTTAGTTTTGATGGTGCGTATCCTCCAGGTGTTTTCTGAGATAGAGGGGCAATAGGATAAACTTGTTTTTAATGTTAGATTTATGGAGGTTTAATTTACAAACAAAAACTCACCCTTTTTAGCTATATAGTGCAATGAGTTTTGACAAACATCTTCAGTCATGTAACCACCACAATAAAGATTTAGAACTATTTTTTTTTATGTGAGGAAGATCAGCCCTGAGCTAACATCTGATGCCAATCCTCCTCTCTTTTTGCTGAGGAAGATTGGCCCTGGGCTAACATCTGTGCCCATCTCCTCTACTTTCTTTTTTTATTTTTATTTTTTTTCGTGAGGAAGATCGGCCCTGAGCTAACATCTGCCAATGCTCCTCTTTTTGCTGAGGAAGACTGGCCCTGGGCTAACATCCATGCCCATCTTCCTCCACTTTATATGGGACGCCGCCACAGCATGGCTTGACAAATGGTGCGTCGGTGCGCGCCCGGAATCCCAAGGGGCGAACCCCCGGCCGCTGCAGCAGAGCGCGCGCACTTAACCACTACGACACCAGGCTGGTTCCCAAAAGTTCCCTTGTGCCCCTTTGTAGTCAATCCTCTCCCTCACTTCCAGTCTTGTGGCAACCACTGATCTGTTTTCTGTCCTTTATAGGTTTTCTTTTTCCAGAATGGCCTATAAATGGAATTACACAGTATTTCTCCAGGTACCTTTTATATCTGGCTATTTTTGCTGGGCATAATACATTTCAGATTCACCCATATTACTGCATGTACAATTCTTTATCCATTCCTTTTCTACAATTTATTTATCCATTCACCAGTTGAAGGCTATTTTGGGCTATTTCCAGTTTTGAGTGATTATGAATAAAGACCACATACAGGTCTTTGCATGGACACATGTTTTCATTTCTCTTGGGTAAATACCTAGGGTGAAACTGTTGAGTCCTATTTTAATTGCATGTTTAACTTAAGAAACTATCAAACTGTTTCCAAAGCAGTTGGATCATTTTGTATTTCTACCAGTAATGTATGAGAGTATCAGTTGCTCTGAATTCTCATCAGGCCTTGTTATTATCAATTTTTTTCATTTTAGCAATTCTAGTAGGTGTGGGGTTGGAGAGTAAATTTTTTGAGACTTGAAAATTTAAAAATATTCTTGGGTTTAGCCTTATATCTAATTGGTAGTTTGCCTGGACAGAGAATTCTAGGTTAGACATTACTGTTTCTCAGAATGTTAAAGGCATTGTTCCACTGTCTTCTAGCTTCCACTGTTGTTAAGAATTTTGATGCTATTTGGACTTCCAATCTTTGTATGTTACTTGTTTTGTCTCTTAAGCTTTTAGGATCTTCTGTCTGTACCCAGTGTTCTGAAATTTTTCATTTCTTGTACTGGGTGCTCAGTGGGCCCTTTCAACCTGGAAAGTCAGGTCCTTTGGTTCTGAGAAATTTCCTTGTACTGTATCTTAGATAATATCTTCCCCTTCCTTTTCTCTACGTATTCTTTCTAGAACCCCTATTTGTTCACTGTTAGGCCTAATGGATTGATCCTACTTTTTCTCCTCTACTTTTCATCTCTGTTCTACATGTTGGGCAATTTCATCAAATCTATGTTCCAATTATCTTGCTAAATTTTAAATTTCTACTTTCATTTTTAATTTTCCAAAAGCTTTTTTTCTCTGAATTTTCCTTTTTTATAGCCTATTGTTACTGTCTCACACACTGCAACATTTCTTATCTGTGAGAATATGAATGGTTATTTTTTTTGAAGTGTTCTGCTCCCTATTTTGTGCTTCTCAGTTTGCTTTTTCTGTTTGCCTCGGTCTGTTTTCCTCAAATGTCTGGTAATTCTTGACTGACAATTCATATTTGACAGTGAACTACAAAAAAAAAAATAACTTGATGCTCTATGTGCATGGACTGAGCTTGTAAAGTTGTAGATTTCACTGTTGAGTGATCAAGCAGAGGTCTGGTTGATAAGATAAGGACATATCCCTTACCACAGTATCTACAGTCCTTTCCTCTTGTGCAGGTTTTCCAAGGAGAGGAATCTGTTCTCCTACTTGGAGGATTGGGCCTGGGTGGGGGTGGGGATGGGAACTAAGTCTGGCTACTTAAGGAGGGGAGCTGGAAGTCTCAGTGATCAGTAGATAGATTTATAGTTAATCTCCTTGAAAACATGTACTTTGTTCTCATCTGGGCATGGTGTTCCCAAGTCCAGAGTCCCTCACATTCGACTACTCTAGAGAACATACTGCCTGTCTTCTGTTGGAGTAGAGCAGGTCTAAAAGCTTCTTAAATTGATTTTCAACCAATTTTCCCATATTTGGCTCCCATCTGTATTTGCTTGGTGCCTCCTGTCCTGAGTGTTTTTCTGGAGCTCTACAGTAAAAAAAAACTCACCTCTTGGGCACTGCTAGTACCCACTTCCAATCTCAAAACAGGCACTTAGCTTTCTACTTTTCAGATTTTCATTATTATTACTGTTTTTGCCTTCATGGCATTATAGGCACCCTCCGCCCCCCCGCTTTTTACTGTCATTTTAGTGGAGTGTTGTGAGGAATCTGTCAAATGTGTATTCAATATCTCATATTTACTTTGATGTAAAGCTTTCTAAAATGCATT